TTTTAGGACCTATATGGAATTTTTTTTTATTACAACCATCACTGCTGCACCAAAAGTTCTTTTTATTGAAGTATAATGAAGTATCGAGTAAAAAATAATTTTACTGAAAAATTGGTGTGAAACTAATGCAGAACTGCGCTGTTACCAGCGAGTCACGTGAAATTTTTCTATTTATAAAAAAACTAAACCTGCATGACATCTAGTTTTTTATGTCTCACACTAGGTTTATATTAGTATAAAATTTTTTTCATTCGTTGCTATTGTCATTAGGTTAAATTTTTTATATCACACCATTTGATTTTTTCAGTGAAAGCATCAGCGATGGATAGTATTAACCTCATGGCTTCTACGTTATGTGTCAGCTATTTCAGATAACCCTTTCGCGTTGTTTTAAATTTAAAAAAAAAATAATTAGTATCTAAATTTTGAATGGCATAAATTGAGATTTTCACGTCGCAAATATAGCGTGATTGTGTCGAGTCAACATGTCTTCGTCGTGAACATATCATCTTGTCTTTGATCATGTCACCTTGTCTTTAACGTGATCATGTCCCCTTTTCTATAGCGTGATCATATCACATTTTACTTAACGTGATCACTTCACCTTGTCTTTAGCGTGATCATGTCACCTTGTCTTTAGCATGATCATGTCAACTTGTCTCATCGTGATCAATTCACCTTGTCTTTGATCATGTCACCTTGTATTTAATGTGATAATGTCATCTTGTCTCTATCTTGATAATGTCATCTTGTCTCTATATTGATAATGTCATCTTGTCTCTATATTGATAATGTCATCTTGTCTCTATCTTGATAATGTCATCTTGTCTCTATCTTGATAATGTCATCTTGTCCTTAGCTGATCGTGTCACGTGACCGTAATGAAATAAAAATCAACGATCTCAATCGAGTTTGTCCGAGTGACTCTATTTACGTGTTTAACTCGTGATCTTGTGTTTTGAATCATTCTGTCTTGTTTTGAGGTTGTCTGGATCTTTTGAGCAACCGACAGATTTATGACTAGTCACGAGCTCTATGTGTCCTTGAATCCAATTAAGGTGTCACTTAACCTTTGAACTGCTTGAACTCGGGCATTGAACAGGCCAACGCAGAATTATTTTTTTACTGAACGATTTTGTGCCCAATCACGATTCTTCATTGTTTACAGAAAGTAAAGCCATAAATAGATTTTGTAAACACCTTCTCTTATTTTTAACGGCGGGTCAAATTTAAACTTCAAGATAAAACCTGCAGGTTAATGATAATTCCAAACGATTCGCACGCAGATTAAATTCACAAGAGAGGTGACATTTGTGGAGCAAGATAGAGGGTCCCAAATGCTGGAGTTCGAATCTTCTATATAATTCGGTACTCAGTTCTACTAAAGATGTCCTCATCATTGAGTCAAGCGATTACCGTCGATTTTAGCTCTACTCCATTTTTTTGTAGTGGCCTTAACGAAAAGCAAGATATTTTCTTCCCCGTTACAATGCCCCATTCTTCCATAGTATCAAAATGTATAGCAGATTTTTATCACGCGTATCACCATAGCAACATATTAAAGGTTTGTGTGGCCTAGACGGAGTAAACTAGAAAATTTCAGAAATGCTATCAAAATCATATATGAAGTGTTCTAATGCAAAGTCATTTGTGGTAGCCACGTCAATAATTTATTTATAGTTCAGACAGGAGTTACACAAGAATGTTTTATGTCCCCACTGGTTTTTAACTTAGTAATTGGTAGGCTGATGTCACAAACTACAGACAAAACAAAAGGCCTCGCGTGGACACTAACAACTAGCCTAGAAGACCTGGAATTTTGCAAGGGGCACTTGAAGAAATTATATTTTTGTGAAGGAGGAGGGGGACTAAAATTTCCTAGAGTGGGGGGGGGGCGGACACTGGTAAAAGTATGTTTTTTTCATATAAATTCTCTTTCGTTTGGGGAGGGGGAGGGGCGGTAGATGTTGTTTTTTTGCGGAGGGGATGAAGAGATGCCTGGAAGAATCACTGATCTGCTAACCGACATCCAAAAAGACATGCAAAAAAAACATAAAGTTTTATTTATTTTGCCAATTGAGTTTGAATCAAAATAATTCGGGACATTATTTCAAAAGGTTGATATTAGTTTTATAGCGCTTTTTACTACTGAATTATGTAAACGTAGAAAGTAAGAATAGAACCTAGAACTCATCAGTTGTCCCATTTTTTTTATCTTACGTCAACCATCGTTACATATAACAAGAGACTCCAATCTATTGAGTTCAAAATCAGTGTTTCTTCCAGACTTTTTTCTCCGGGGGGGGGGGGGGGCACTTGAAATCTTCGGGGGGGGGGGCGGTAAACTTTCTTCGGGGGGGCGGACACTGTTAAAAGTATATATTTTCTATATAAATTATATAAATTTCATTTCGTTCGGGGGGGGGGGGGGGGCGGTAAAAGAGATGCCTGGAAGAAACTCTGTTCAAAATCCAACTTCCTTAACGCTCGTCATGTGTGAGTTAAAAAACAGACAGGTTCGACGCTTTGCCCTTTTGACTAGCGTTTAAATTTTGGATGCCAATATGACAGTGTGAGGACACCTGAAGCCCACGTCTGAATTTGAAATGCCCATAAACTAAATGGGTAAGACGGCACCTCACGGCGGTGGCTTTTTTGTTACACCTACCCAGCAGTTTACAGCCAATCAGGATTGCTGTGGCTGTGGTGTGGCTGTGGTGTGGCTGTGGTGTGGCTGTGGTGTAGTCGTGGTGTAGCAGTGGTGTGCATAGCCAGGTCTTGGGCGGATCTATCAAGTCTTGGGGAAAACGGATCTACCTGACCCAGAGAACAACATGTAATAACGGAGCTACCTTGGTGTATGTTTGACAACATATCTACTACAGAAAAGGTGAGCAATTTGTTTAAACATTGGTGAGCAAACCTAACAAAATCTAATAGAAATAAATCAACCCGTGTGTTAATATATTTAAAAGACATTATAATCTAAGCTGGAATGACGATAGATCAGATTTGAAAGGGTTAGTGTAACTGGAGAGTACAGGTTGTAATTCTGTGATTCACAATTGTGTTTGAGACTGTCACAAACATATCTGAGATTATGATTGACACATTCAAACGTATGTCTGATATTGTCACACAGATGTATAAAACTGTGGTGCAAACAGATGTCTGACACTATCACACAAATGCCTGACACTGTCACAAAGATGTCTGACACTGTCAACACTGTTACATATATGTCTAACTCTGTCACACAGATGTCAGACACTGTCACACGGATGTCTGACACTGTCACAAAGATGTCTGACACTGTCACAAAGATGTCTGACACTGTCACACAGATGTCAGACACTGTTACACGGATGTCTGACACTGTCACAAAGATGCCTGACACTTTCATACAGATGCTAACAATGTGACTCACACAGAGGTCTAACACTGTCACACAGATGCCTGCCACTGTGACTAACTCAGATGCATTACAGTGTGTCTCTTACAGAGCTCTTACACTTAGATGTATAAAATACTTTGAATAAAGTTGTGTGATGATATGACACAAAGCAATCCCTGTTTCTTGTTTAACGGTCGGAAAGACATTCATGTCTGACACTATCTTTGACAGCCATGGCACCTGTAATCCCATGCAAATACAACCGTGTATACAAGTTCTCCTCGGTGTTAAGCCACATTTTTAACACGTTTTTCTTAACTCAGCTTCGCGTTTGTGGATTTGTTTGTTTGTTGTTAAAATTGACATCGAAAATTAGCCCACTTCTGATTGCTCTAGAGATCTGAAATTTGGCATACACGCTACTTTCGCCTAACAATTTCAGATGCAATCATAAAAACTAGCAATTAGAGACCGTAATTAGCTTAATTTAATTACGCCCCAATGACCATAAAATTGAGGACATGATTTCTAAAGATACCGACAAGACTGTAGGCTTATTGACACAGTTACTTCGGCCCCATTCAATGTGAGCGCGCTGGCCGTGATCGTATAGTGGTTAGTACTTCGCGTTGTGGCCGCGACAACCCAGGTTCGAATCCTGGACGCACAAGATTTTTTTAGTCCGTGTATTTATAAACACTTAGTAAAGTCATACTTAATCAAGTCATTAGATAAAGTAGAAAATAAACTATATAAAAAACTTTTTTAAAAACCACGTTTTTCATGTGTAGCAACGGACTAAAAAGGAGAAAATAAAATACTTAAAAAAAACTTTTTTTAAAAAACCACGTTTTTCTTGTGGACTAAAAAGTAGAAAATAACTATTTACATACATTTGATGACAAAAAACGTGGGTCGGGCAGATGGGTCGGGAAATTTGATGGTGAACGTACCCACGTTTTTTGTCATCAAATGTATGTAAATAGTTATTTTCTACTTTTTAGTCCACAAGAAAAACGTGGTTTTTTTAAAAAGTTTTTTTTAAGTATTTTATTTTTCTCTGGCACCACTGTGAGGCTCCGTGAGACAGCTACCGGAATGGCTGGAATTCAAGCAAACAGGAGGCTGCTGCTGTTTTTTTGCTTGTTGGGACGTGTTATGGGACGGAGTGGTCTAGCGGTAGAGAGCTGGACTGCTAACGCGTAAGTTTCGAGTTCGAATCCGAGTTCAAGTCAGTAGACAGTCTCTGAGTCCACCCAACTCTGATGGGTACCTAACTCACGTTAGGGAAAGTAAAGGCGGCTGGGCATAGTGCTGACCACACTATCTCTTCATGTGCCGAGGTCACAGAAATTAGTGAACTCTACTTCTGTTGCCCCATAGACCGTCAGGTTTGAAAAGGGAACTTTACTTTTTACTTTTACTCGTGTTTAAGATAAATTAAATTACGCATCACGAATAATATCAATAACATTTTAAACTACTTTTACATTTTAAACTATTTTCAAACTACTTAGATTTTTTTAATGAATCTGAATACTTTAAATTGCTACATATCTCCATAAACTTTGCATAACAAACGAAATCGTATTTTCGGAAATATTAG